AGAAGCAAAACTAAAATCCTGAAATGCTAATTTATGTTTTTATTTGTTGTTTTGGGGCCACACCTGGCAATGCTCAGGGCTCACACCTGGCTCTGCGCTCAGGAATCATTCCTGGCTGTGCTCAGGGACCACGTGGGGTGTCAGGGATCGAACCTGGGCTGACCGCAGGCAGGGCAAGCATCCTACCCTGTGTGCCATCTCTCTGAGCCCAGTGCTGATATTTTAAAATCAGTATCATTGTCATTACCTGGCTGGAGCGATAGCACAGCGGGAGGGTGTTTGCCTTGCACGTGGCTGGCTCGGGTGAGCCAGGTTCAATTCCTCCGCCCCTCTCGGAGAGCCCTGCAAGCTACCGAGAATACCTCGCCAGCATGGCAAAGCCTGGCAAGCTCCCTGTGACGTATTTGATATGCCAAACACAGTCACAACAAGTCTCACGATGGAGATGTTACTGGGCCCGCTCGAGCAAATCGACGAACAACGGGAGGACAGTGACAGCGACAGTGTCATTACCTATAATAAAAAAATGATCCTTCGGGGTTGTTAAAAACAAAAGCCTCTAAAACCAAACAAATCCTCCCCCTCTTAGGTCGGTTCAAATCAAACTCTTGCTTTCTTCCCTGTCCCACCCCTGGTACTAGTTTCTCGAACCCTTGTTCAGCCGCAGATCCGAGTTCACGCGGGAAGTGCGTCGTCTCTGTGGCCTGTGTCCTGTTGGTTGTTGGCCTGGAGTTCGCCAACCTCCCGCCCCGCCCTTCGATTGCCCTGAGCAAGTTGCTTTCCATAGGTGCGCTCCGGCCTCACCACTGTGGGTGAGACGCATCACGCGTGGGAAACCTCCGTGGCTGGGAAATGCCAGTTAGCAACCCCTGTCTACAGAACACGGTTCCTTATTTGGCACTTTTATCTTGGCATCTTTTTTTTTTTTTTTTGCTTTTTGGGTCACACCCGGCGATGCACAGGGGTTACTCCTGGCTCTGCACTCAGGAGTTACTCATGGCGGTGCTCAGGGACCATATGGGATGCTGGGAATCGAACCCGGGTCGGCTGCGTGCGATGCAAACGCCCTACCCGCTGTGCTATCTCTCCAGCCCCTATCTTGGCATCTTTAAGCAAACATGCTGAAGAAAAATCATTGTTGCCTCTTTCCACTCAACCCTTGGAACAGATTTTGTTCTGATGGAGCAATGAAGACTACCGTGCAGTTGTGCACGGGCAGGGTGAAATTCTCCCTGATGCCAGCAGAGGGCGCCAGCTCCCTTCTCAATAACTCCCATCCCCCTCCCCCTCGCTGTGCGTTGACAGCATCAGGGTGGACCCCAGCACCCAGGCAAGGTTTAGGGGGGAAATCCTAATCACCCCAACCTTTCACAAAGCCCTTGGGGGGGCAACAGCTCAAATCAAAACACCATTTTATTCCCTGAGGCATTGAATTTCCCCTTGCAAATGCTGGGCTGCGCTGCTCACAGGAACCCTTTCTCCATCCGAAAATGTGTGTGAACATGACCCCCCGCATCCCAAGACGGGCTTGTTGGGATCGGGATCCTGTGATCAGTTCGTGATGGATCCACTTCTCACTGGCCTCCCTCCCTCTTGGCCTCCCTTAACCCCACATGTGCGTGACCAGGGCCACGCAGCCAGCACAGACCTGGCTGGGGTTCAGCGTGGAGGGGCCGCTCGAAGGTAATCCGCGTGATTAAGAGAAACAGCCGTGAGATGTGGAGCTTTTATTTATTTATTTTGGTTTTCGGGCTGCGTCCGGTGATGTTCAGGGCTTACTCCTGGCTCTGTGCTCAGGATCACTCCTGGTGGTGCCGGGGTGCCCTATGGGATGCCGGGAATTGAACCCGGGTCGGCTGTGCAGAAGGCAAGCACCCTCCCTGCTGTCCTATAGCTCTGGCCGGGAACGTGGTGCTTTAAAAAAACTCAGAGCAGATATGCACAGATTTCCACGACGGACATACCACAACCACGAAAATGAAGACAGACCCAAACCTGCACACCTGCAGCCTCGCAGCCGGGGCTCCCGGCAGACGGGACCCAGCTCTCCTTTAAACGTTGAGATGTTGGGTTCCTCCCCCACCCCTTTGATTTTTTTTTGTTTTTTTTACAGGCATTCAATACTCCAACGCCAATCCCTCCACCATTACACCCTTCTTCCACGGAACTCTCTAATTTTCCCAACCACCCCTTAGGAAGCCTGCCCTCATAGCTCGCCCTCAATTATTTATTTTACATTGCTTGTTATCTGCTGGAGCGATAGCACAGCAGGTAGGGCGTTTGCCTTGCACGCGGCCAACCCGGGCCGACCCAGGTTCGATTCCTTCGCCCCTCTCGGAGAGCCCGGCAAGCTACCGAGAGTATTGAGACCACACGGCAAAGCCTGTCAAGCTCCCCGTGACGTATTCGATAAAAAAAAAAAACAGTAACAACAAGTCTCACAATGGAGACGTTACTGGTGCCCGCTCGAGCAAATTGATGAATAACGGGAGGACAGTGCTATAGAGAAAGTTAGTGCAAATTGTTGTATCTCACCATGAAGCTATCAAGTCCTTGTATACGAGATTACTAAGATGTTGTTCTAGTTAAGTTCTATGTTTATATTTTGTTCATCGAGACGGGATGCCTTCCACATTGCATCCATCCAATCTGGTGCGCTACTCCTGGTTTATCAATGTTGTAGAGTTTGAGATGTTCCTCCAGGAAGTCCCAATTTTTTTTTTTTTTTTTTTTTTGCTTTTTGGGTCATACCCAGCGATGCTCAGGGGTTACTCCTGGCTCGTGCACTCAGGAATTACTCCTGGCAGTGCTCGAGGGACCATATGGGATGCTGGGAATCGAACCTGGGTTGGCCATGTTGGCTTCGTGCAAGGCAAACGCCCTACCCGCTGTGCTATCGCTCCAGCCCCGGAAGTCCCAAATTTTTAACAGGGTGATAACAGCTGGAGTTAAATGTTTAACTTGGAGGCAGCTTTGTGTGTGTGTGTGTGTGTGTGTGTGTGTGTGTGTGTGTGTGAGTGTGATTGCCGGGGCTTCTGAAAGTACAGGGAAATGGGATGAAAGCCTGGAAATTTCAGTCACCAAATCTACATATCTGAGTTTTTCAGTGAATGTTTGGTGCTTTCAGGGCTGAATCTCTTGCACTCCCCTGGTCCTACTTCCTGTCTTACTCCCCATCAAGACTCCCCCTGCCTCCCCGGGGGCGGAAGCTATTGGCTGCAGGTGTTAAATGCCAGGGAAGAAAGCCGGAAGTGGTCCAGGAGAATAAATATAAGCTTACATAAATATAAGTTTACAAAGCTTGTAAACACATCACTGAGACCTTTGCAGAGACTTCTCTGGGAACCAGGTTTGCGCTCACTACTTAATTAATTTATTTATTGGCTTGTGGGGCCACACCTGGCGATGCTCAGGGCTTACTCCTGGCTCTGCACTCAGGAATCACTGATGGTGGTGCTTGGGGGACCCTATGGGATGCCAGGGATCGATCTCGGGTTGGCTGCGTGAAAAGCAAACGCCCTCCCCGCTGTACTATGGCTCCGGGCCCTGCATTCACTATTGACTGGCATGTTCTGGGACCAAATAGTGGCCAAGGCGAGGCCATCGAGGCCCTGGTAGGCAGGCTGGCATCACGGTGACAGAAGGTCAAAGCTGTTCCTGCTTCCCACCTGAGTGAGGCAGGGAGAAGTCACAGCGGAGACTCTGGGCACTCACAGGGCAGGCGGCAGTGGGTTCCCCCTGCAGCCCACTCCCCCAGGCCTGCAGTGCCCACCCTCCCCCGCCTGGAGCTGAACTGCATGGGCGCAGGTGTGGGTGGATCCAAGTCCTTCCCTTTTCTTCCTGCAGAGCCGTGAGTGGTGGGATGAGACCCCAAATCGGGGGAAGTCCGCCTCTCAGGCTGCAAAATCCTGACTCCAAACACAGGTTGAGCCTCCACACAGCTCGGGCTCTGTGTTCTTTTCCACCCATGAAAACCCTGGGCCTCCCTGTGGCGAGGACCCCTGACCACATGTCTCTCTTCCTTACAGCAAGCCTGGACTGGGCTAGGTGGAGAGGGAGGGGGGATGGGGACAGGACCCCCCATCCCAGGAACAGCAGCGACAGAGAGACCAGGGGATCAGAGATTTCAAAGCACACCAGTTTATTATCTCAGGGTCCAGCCCCGAGGGGCCTGAGGTCACAGCCACGAGGTCAGTGGAGCAGTCCTTCCTCCCCCACCCCCCACTGCCATCGCTGGCCTCCGTGTGACCCACCTTCGTGTCTGCGCCCAGATCCTCCGGATTCACCTCCCGACTCAAGATCCCTAATAGCCTCAGCACCGTCACAGTTCCCCTGGAGACGGTCACAGACCCCCCCCTCCCCCGGTCTGTGTGATTCGCCTTCCAGAACAGTCATTATTCCATTATTCAATTATTTAGCATTTACGTTAGTACAGAATTACAGTTATTAGTCACCACGACATGGCTGGGTCTGGATCAGTGGGAAGGAAGTCCAAGCTTCTCTCTCTTTTTTTTTTTTTTAATTTCTGGCATTTTGGGTCGCACCTGGCGATGCTCAGGGCTTCCTCCTGACTCTGCATTCAGGAATGACTCCTGACGGTGCTCTGGGGACCATACGGGATGCTGGGGATCGAACCTGTGCAGGGTTCGGCCGTGTGCAGGGCAAACGCTTTACCTGCTGCACTGTGGTTCCGTCCCTGGGCCATACCCCTGTGTTGGATAACACTGGGTGGTCCTTTTGCTGCTTAAGATTTATTGAACCACTACTGCAACTCTGCAACTGAGGTACACCCAATTCCATTGCTCGGGGTTAACTCCTGGCTCTGGGTTCCAGGATCACGACTGGCAGAGAGCTCCGGAGGTGGGGGGCTGGGGGGGGACCATTCACAGAGCCAGGACGGAGCTGGGGTAGGTGGTTTGCAATCATGCACCTCCCGGGGGGGGGGGGGGGGGGGCGGGTCCGTCTCTGCAGCCCTCAACGACCTGCCGGGACGGGGGTCTCTAGTTCCACCCGGTCAGCTGGTGGCTCTCCCTGTGGGTGGAGGTGGCCGAGACCAGGCTGCGCGGGGTGCACTGCCCGTAGAGCTCCCAGGCCTTGGTCCTGAACAGCCGCCCCACGAAGACGTAGAGCACCGGGTTGAGGCAGCTGTTGAGGAAGGCGAAGAAGTTGGCCACGAGCAGGCCCAGGTCGATGAAGTCCTCCCAGAAGCATCCCTGCACGGCGCCCGCCTGGAACAGCAGGTCCAGGAGCGCAAAGAAGTGGTAGGGGGCCCAGCAGAGCAGGAAGGCGGCCACCAGCGCGAGGATGAGCGCCGTGGTCTTGCTGCCCCGGGCCCCCGCGCCCTGCGCGCCGGGCACCTCCCGCCGTGCCCACAGCGCGCTCAGGATGTGGCCGTTGAAGAAGAGCAGCGCGGCCAGCGGCAGCAGGAAGCCCAGCACGCTGAGCTGCACCAGGCGCACGTAGTGCCAGGCCGGGTCCGGCAGCTGCAGCACGCAGGCCGTGACGTTGAGGCCGGGCGCGGCGCTCACGGAGCGCAGCAGGAAGCTGGGCACGCTCAGCACCGCGCCCAGCGCCCAGATGAGCGCGCAGGTGGCCCGGGCCCGGCGGCGGCGCGGGCGCCTCCTGCTGGCCACCGGGTGCACCAGCACCTGGTAGCGGTCCTGGCTGATCGCCACCACCAGGAAGATGCTGATGAACATGTTGGCCTTGATCATCCCGTTGACCACGCGGCACAGCGCGGCCCCGAAGGGCCAGTGGAACTCGTTGCGGATGTTCTCGGCCCAGAAGGGCAAGCCCAGGATGAAGACCAGGTCGGACGCCGCCAGGTTGGCCAGGTAGATCTCGGCCACGCTGAGCCGCCGGCGCGGCACCAGGAAGACGGACAGCACGAACAGGTTCCCCAGCAGGCCCAGGGCGCACACGGCCACGATGAAGGTGGGCAACGTCCGATGCAGCGCCTTCCACACCTCGGGCACGTTGTCGCAGGACGTGTCGTTGGGGGGCGGCGGCTGGCTCAGGGGGGCGACGGAGAATTCCAGCAGCGACCAGGACGCCGTCCGCAGGGACCTGCGGGCACGGAGGGGGCAGGGCGTGAGGGGACTGCACCCTGTCCTGCGTGGGGTGCAGAGAGCGTGCTCACAGCAGGGACCCCGTTTTTTGTCCCGCATTGCTGGAAGTGCTGGCCACCTGTGCCCCAGGAGGGAAAAACGGCAGACCCCTGCACTAGAAGGGAAGCCCGGGGTGGGGGAAGCCGAGTTCAAGCCCCCCTTAAGGTCTCATGGAGACCACAAGGCCGCTTAGACCTTCTGATTTTTTTTCCCCTTTAAAAAATTGCAGGGGGTCCGGGGGGCTGGAGCAATAGCACAGCGGGGTGGGCGTTTGCCCTGCACGCGGCCGACCCAGGTTCGATTCCCAGCATCCCATATGGTCCCCTGAGCACTGCCAGGAGTGATTTCTGAGTGCAGAGCCAGGAGTAACCCCTGTGCATCGCCGGGTGTGACCCCCTTCCCAAAAAAATTGCAGGGGCCGGAATGATAGTACAGCGGGGCCCACCCAGGTTCAATCCCTGGCCTCCCCTAGGGTTCCCCAAGCACTGCCAGAAGTAATTCCTGAGCACAGAGCCAGGAGGAACCCCTGAGCATTGCTGGGTGTGACCCAAAAAAGCAAACTAACTAAATAATTGCAGCTTTTGGGGGCTGGAGAGATAGTACAGCAGGGAGGGTACTTATCTTGCACGTGGCCAACCCAGGTTTGCTTCCTGGTATCCCAGATGGTCCCCTGAGCACTGCCAGGAGTGATTCCTGAGAGCAGAGCCAGGAGCATCACTGGATGTGGCCTCCAAACTATAATAGGTAATAATAATAATAATAATAATAATAATAAGCCACTATTTGGCTGCTGCATGGGGGGGGTCTGGAGAGAGTGAGGGCAAGTGAAATTAGGAGAGGACAGACACAGAATGATCTCTCATAGCACCCAAAAGGAGAGAGAGAGAGAACAAAGGGGAATGCCCTGCCACAGAGGTGGGGTGGGGCGAGGGGAGATGGGGTGGGGGGTGGGAGGGATACTGGGATCATTGGTGGTGGAGAATGGGCGCTGGTGGAGGGTTGGGTACTCGATCATTGTATAACTGAAACCCAAGCACAAAAATTCGTAAGTCTACAACTGTACCTCATGGTGTTTCACTAATAAAAATCTAAAAAAGAAAAGAAAAGAAAAAAACAAGTAGGGGATGACAAATACCTCAAAGCAATAAGACTGCGAATGGTTTGTCAGCAGGAAGCCTCCCGGGCAGGGGGTTGGCAGTGGAGGGAAGAGGAGCCTGGGCAGGTGTGGTCTGGATTGTGTTATGCAGGATTCTGACCCTTAACGGTGCCGTCAGCCCCGGTGTATAAGGACAATGTGCCAGCCAAGGGGGCAGGCTGGGCTGGGTGGGAACTTGGACATGGGGGTAGCGGGTGGAGCACTGGACGCCTGAAATGCAGTTCTGAGTAGTTTTGTAAACCACGGTGCCTTAATAAAAATTCTTTTAGGGCCGGAGAGATAATGCACTACCGCTCATGCGTCCCATCTGGGTTTGGTCCCGGCGTCGCCTAAGGTCCCCCAAGCACTGCCAGGAGTGATTCCTGAGCACAGGGTCAGGAGTAACCCCTGAGCATCACCGGGTGTGGTCCTCAAACAGACAACAAGCAAAAATTCCTTTCAGAAATTGCAGCTGATCAGTGAAGGGACCATGTCCCTACATTGCAAAACTGAAACCCAAGCCTGAACTACTTTGTAACTGTGTATCTTACAGTGATACATTAAAAAAAATAATAATTGCAGCTATATGTCTCTTTCTTACAAGGCTGTAGCAAGGACTGGCGGTGTGTGCCTTTTGGTGGGGGCCGGGGGAGGGTTCCTCTTAGGTTTCAGAGAGAGACAGTCCCCCGAAGTGCTGGAGACCCCAGGGGTCGCTCCTGTGGACCAGGTCACACCTGGTGGGGCTTGGGGGGTTTTGCTATAGTGGACACCAAGACCTATGCTCTGGAAGGCAGGAATGTGCTCCAGCTTTTTTTGTTTTGGGTGGGAGGCCACACCTGGCTCTCCTCAGGGGTTACTCCTGGCTCTGTGCTCAGGAATCACTCCTGGCAGGCTTGGGGATCTTATGGGGTGTCGGGGACTGAACCCGGGTCAGCTGTGTGCAAGGCAAGTGCCCTCCCTGCTGTGCTATCTCTGCACCCTGGGCCCCAGACCTCTGGGCTCTCTCCTGATCCCCAATTAGTCTCTGTACCCCCAGGGATTAGTATCAGGGAGAGTTTAGCAAACATTCACTGGGCACCTGGCCAGATGCTAGGGATACAGGGGGGATTGAGCATCCTTCATCCTTCATCTTCGGGTACTCACCAGCTAAGGGCCTTCAGGCACAGACTCTGCCCCGGACCCAGAGCAGGGTCAGTGTAAGTAGCAGAATCAATCCGGGCCCAGGATAAGACCAGACCAGGACCCAGGACTAGAGGTAGGTCCAGGAGCTCCCAGGACATGAACATGAGCTCAGTCCAGACGCTGGATAGAGAGAATCAATGTTTAGGGAGAAGTGTGACTGCAGGGGGCTGAGCTTGGAGCCGGACAGTTGAGGGGCCTCGGAAGGCCAGCACGGACGTCCAGTGGGTCTATGTCTGCCCATCTCAGACGGGAAATGGTCGGGAAGCATTTCCTGGTTTCCTCATCCCGCTGACCTGAGGGGGTCACTGGCTCCAACCCCCCCTCCATTCCCCTGAGAGCAGCCAGGGACCTGAGGTGTCCCGTCATCTTCCAGGGCGGCTCGCTGGGCCAGTAGGCAGGCAGGGAGCTCCATGTGGAACACTTTCACGTTTTGCGCACGAGTTGCTGAGCCAGTCAGGCCAGAAGGGAAGTGTCTGTGTGGGGACACGCAGCCCAGCTGTGACCGCATCTGTGCTGACCCCGCCTCTGGCCTGTGTTGTGGGGACCCACCCCGAGCGTCAGAGGGTCATGACTCCCTGCCCCGGTCAGCCCTGACGCCTGGTCTGTCTCTCCCTCCTGCTGTCTGGGCTCCTCCTGCGAAGCCCGGACCCACCCACCCCGGCAGCTGACCACATGGCCCAAGTTTGAGGTCTTCTTTTTTGTTTTGTTTTGTTGTTTTGTTTTTCTTTTTGGGTCACACCCGGCAATGCACAGGGATTGCTCCTGACTCTGGACTCAGGAAATACTCCTGGCAGTGCTCGGGGGACCATATGGGATGCTGGGAATCGAACACGGGTTGGCCACGTGCAAGGCAAATGCCCTCCCTGCTGTGCCCAAGTCTGGGGTCTTTACCCCTAAGGCCCTTCCCTCTCCTGGCCAAAGTGCTCGCATGGGCTTCTCTGACACGTCTGCGTGGTACAGCCCCATGTCACAGAACCAATGCATCTTGGTAGCTGACGCCATCACGTGGTGCGAGGGCTAATCCTACAGGAATCCACTTGGCCGCGTGACTTTGGCAGTGTGACCGCCTCCTCCGCAGATCCCAGAATGTCCAGCAGACACTCACGCTACCCAGCGTCATCTCCTGGCGCCTGCCTTGGAAGGCCTCCCCGAGCGCCCGGGAATCAAACCGGAAAAACTAAAGAAGTTCCTGCCTTCGGGGAGCTTGAGCGTCCAGGAGCCTGACAGGAGGGTGGCGGGCGGTTTCCTGCCTGAGCGGACACTCCATATGCAGGGCATAACAGGCCCAGGGTTTTAGCTGGGCTGAATCATGATGCTTGGGTGGGGGGATCGGACAATTGGGCATTTGCCTTGCATGTGACCGACCCAGGTTTGATCCCCGGTACCTCCCATCTAGTTCCCCAAGCACCGCCAGAAGTAATTCCTGAGTACAGAGCCAGGAGTAACCCCTGAGCACCACCAGTGTGACCCAAAAAGGCACAAATAAAAAAGATGCTTGGCTGGAACCCCGGGCAATATGAGCTTGCCGCCAACTGAATGAAGGGTGAAGCTGAGCAGGGTGGGGGTGAAAGGTCAGAGGTCACCTGGGTCATGGGAGGTAGAGATGTCCCTTGAGCATCTAGGGTTGGTGAGCATCTCTGAGAAGAGGGTCCCCCCCACCCAAAACACACACACTGCAGGTCGGATGGACTCACCGAGAGGTCAGGGGCAATTGAAGGCTCTGCCTGTGAATTGATTGACAGGTGGGAAATGGGTAGGGGTGGGGGGGGGACTACACGGCGCCTGTGGGCCTGCGGATCGTAGCCCGCAGCTGCAAGCAGATGGAGGCGTCCCAGCGCTCAGCACTGGCGGCTGGGAGCAGGCCCACAGCACATGTGTTTGCCATCAGCAAACACTTCTGCATTGCAAAGTTTGGCAATGAACCCTGCTGGCAGCCCAGAGCTGAGAAACGGAAGTTTCATGGGGTGAAAATGAATTTCAGATTCTCCCGGAAGCTGATGTCACCTGCACCAAGTATTTGCATCAGGGTGGGGGTGCGGGGGTGTCTGTAGCAATTTCACTGACCTCAAGACACTCAAGATGCAACGCGGGGCGTGAATTCTAGAGACAGGACCCTAATCCACTGCTCCGCACCCCATAACTGCAGGAAAGCTGCTCTAGACCCCCAGGGAGAGGGGGTAACGGCTCCCCAGTCTGCTCAAACCAGGTCCTGAAGTTTGATTCACTCACTTCTTTTTATTTTGTTTATGTTTGGGGTCATACCCGGCGATGCTCAGGGGTTACCACTGCTCTGGACTCAGGAATTTCTCCTGGTGGCTCGGGAGACCATTTGGGATGCTGGGAATTGAACCTGCGTTGCCCACAAGGCAGACGCCCCAGCCACTGGTCTGTCACTGTGACCCCCTCCACTTTTTTTCTTTTCTTTTCTTTTTGGCTTTTTGGGTCACACCCAGCGATGCTCAGGGGTTACTCCTGGCTCTGCACTCAGGAATTACTCCTAGAGGTGCTCCCCTGAGCATATGGGATGCTGGGCATTGAACCTGGGTCGGCTGTGTTGCAAGGCAAAGGTCCTACCCACTGTGCTATCGCTCCAGCCCCTCCCCTCCTTTTCTGATGCCACTCTGGTTCCAGCTGACGCTGTGCTCACACAGCTGTGAGGTGATGTCTGGCTGGTGTGTGCAGTTCCATAACACGAGGGATGGTCAGCTGAGGCTTGGGGTCCCCATAGGACACTCCAAAGGGAGCCAGAGTTGGGCCTCACGTCTATTCCCAGACTCAAAGCAAAGCTTCTGGTCAAGGCCGCACTTGCCTTGCTGGAAGCTGGTCTAGAGGCCACCGGGCTTTCCCACCCTAGGCATGGTGGCGTTTGTCAAAGGCTCATGGGGTCAAGGGGGGCACAGTGCGTGGCTTTTCATTGCAAGAACAAGTTCCAGTATCAGATCAAGAGAAATGAAGGTGAGGGCTGGAGCGATAGCACAGCGGGTAGGGCATTTGCCTTGCACAGGCCGACCCAGGTTCTATTCCCGGCATCCCATAGGGTCCCCGAGTAACACCAAGAGTAATTCCTGAGTGCAGAGCCAGGAATAACCCCTATGCATCGCCAGGTGTGACCCCCCAAAAAAAACAAAAAAAAGAGAGAGAAATGAAGGCGAAGTGAATATAATTTATAGAATTTCATAACCTATCTAGTTACCAATCACAAACGTTTTGAGATAAAATTACTAAAAAACACTTGTGTCCATGCTCTGTCCCCCTTCCCTGCCCATCATTTATCAGATTATTAGTGATAGTATTTGGATTTGGGGCCACACCTGGCAGTGCTTAGGAGTTACTCCCGGCTCTGTGCTCAAGGGTCAATCCTGGCGGTGCTCGGGGACCATCTATGATGCCGGGGATGGAACCTCGGCCCCTGTGTGCAAAGCATGTGTTTCTCCCATTGAGCTATCTCTCACCCCTCAACTTTATTAAAAACAACATTTAGAATAAACTCACCCAGCAGTGCCCAAGGGGGCCCGAAAGTCAGTGCTCGGGTCTGGTGATGTATGTTACTCCAGCCCAACAGTGCCGGGGTCATGTGGACCAGACTCAGAACTGCTTTGGAGACTATGTGGGTGCAGAACTGGAACCTGGGGTCTCGGATGCAAGTGAAGCCTTTGAGCTGTCTCCCCACCCCAGTCAGCGTTTGGAGACTGAGCGTAAGTACTGTCCGGCGTTATTATTATTATTATTATTATTATTATTATTATTTGGCTTTTTGGGTCACACCCAGCTATGCACAGGGGTTACTCCTGGCTTATGCACTCAGTAATTACTCCTGGCGGTGCTCAGGGGACCATATGGGATGCTGGGAATCGAACCCGAGTCAGCCGCGTGCAAGGCAAACGCTCTACCTGCTGTGCTATCACTCTAACCCCAAGTCCGGTGTTATTAAACTATTGAAACAGGCCTTGGTTCCGAGAGACAGATAAACAGGCTGAGCAGTTGCTTCGAGAGAAGGAGGCCTGGGTTCATCTCCTGGCACCATGGGATCCCCAAGTGCTATCGAATGTGACCCCCAAACCAAAAACAAACGGGATTTTTTTTTTTTGCCACACCTGGCAATGCTCAGTTACTCCTGATTCTGCACTCAGGAATCATCCCTGGTGGTGTTTTCTGGGGGTGCAGATGGGGTGCTGGAGATTGAACCTGGTTGGACAGGTGTAAGGCAAACGCCTTTCCCCTCTGTATGATCTCTCGGCCCTCTCCACCAAACATTTTGGTTGAAATCTGCTTCAAACAATTGGAACAGATTAATAAAAATATTCAGTGAATGGGACTTTGAAAGCTTTTGGATGAGAAGTCATCGTGGGGAAACAAAGCAGAGAAATTGAAAGTTATTGCATAAAGACCAGGGGAGGAAATGATCAGATGAAGTGATGAGTGCTCACGCAGACACACACAGATTTGATTTCGAAACTCTGTAAAGAGCGCCGGCTGTCTCCGGGGGGGATGGAGCGTTCCAGTTGGATCTGATCCCCCGTGCAGAGACCAGCTGACGTGGAGAACGGCCCCGGCCCCGTGTGGGTGTGCGGTAGCCCACTTCGGGAAAACGTTCAAAACTGCTCTATGGCTATGACTTCTTGGAAGGGTCCAACCTGGCAAAAACATAGGGGTGGGGCCTTTGCAGAATCCCGGGCGCAGAGCCTGGGTGCAGGAGCAAACCCCTCTGTCTCTTTCTAATTACTGTTTTCTGGGCTGGAAGCAAGGACATGGCAAGGAGGGTGCTTGCCTCACATGCAGTCAACCCAGGTGCAATCCCCGGCATCCCATTGGGGTCCCCAGAGCCCAGCCAGGAGGGACCCCTGAGTGTAGAGCCAGAAGGAAGCCCTGAGCACTGCCGGACATGGCCCCAAACCAGAAGTAGAATAAAATAACGAGACTAGATTAAAGGCAGAAGTTTCTTCTGGAAAATGCTAAGAAAATATCAGAGCCAAGTGCAAGCCTCAAAATGTATCATGTAGTCTTCATCAATATTATTGGTTATTGTATATTATTTATCACTTCATTTTTTTGACATTACGGAAAAATGTGTAGCACTGTGTAGCGCTGTCCTCCCGTTGTTCACCGATTTGCTCGAGCGGACCCACCCAGTAACGTCTCCATCGTGAGACTTGTTACTGTGTTTGGCATATCGAATACGTCATGGGGAGCTTGCCAGGTTTTGCCGTGCAGGCGAGATACTTTCGGTAGTTTGCTGGGCTCTCCGAGAGGGGTGGAGGAATCGAACCCGACTCTGCTGGGCTGACTGCGTGCAAGGCAAACACCCTACCGCTGTGCTATCGCTCCAGCCCGTTACGGAAAAATAATTAGCTGTTTTCTGCTGCTATATTATCTTTTCATTTTCTAATATGAAATTATATTTCAGTGTCCTGAAAAAAAATGTATCGTGTGGTAAGATCAATTCTTCTCCTCAAGCTATGTTTTAATGTTCAGTTAATTAACATAAGTAAAAGGTTTTATTTTGCCTCTATATGTGTAGGCGTATATATGTAAAGGCATTTTTGCATGTGTTTGTGTGGAGCTTTTGAGTCCTGCCCGGAGGTGCTCAGGGCAGACTCCTGGCTCTGTGCTCAGAGATCACTGCTGATGGGCTCAGGGGACCATCTGGGGTGCCGGGAGGCACCCTACCATTCTGTATTATTTCTCCAGCCCCTGAACATGTTTGGGACTAACACTGAGTCAGAACGAGATTAGAAGATGCTGCATTTCTGATTTTGAAGACCGGAGAGCAGGACGGGGTGGATCCCAGCCAAGGAACAGAGAGAACTTCTAGAAACTGGAAACAGAAGCAGAATCTCCCGCAGACCCTCGGGGGAAGGCACACAGGCTTACCCAGTGTGACCAATGGAAACTTCTGGGCTCCAGAGCCAGGAGGCAGGACAGGGCAGTTGGTTAGACTTTCAGGAGCCGGGAGGCAAGACAGGGCAGTGGTTGGGCACTGCATGTCTGTACTCACTGTCAGA